TTTTACAACACGTATGGCTTACGGAGGGAAGATTCTCATTCCACTTCCCCATGGATATAAAAGGAAAAGTAATGAGACCAAAAACTATTAAGATAAAATCAAAGATGATTGTGTATAAATAAACATGTACATGTAGGTGTAGTGTGACTTAAGTGTAAGTAGAAGTAGCAAGATGTACCTGTAATCTTGCATATTTATGAGACAGACAAAAGACACCAGCAATCCTACCATCATGTAAAACAATTACAGACTTTCATTTTACACTCACTTGGCAGGACAGCATTACCTCCCTGGGTGGTTGCTATCTACCAACCTACTACCTATGTTCCTGAAAATGCTGTTAGATAAATCTGTGTTAAACTAAAGAATTTATGGGAAAAATAAGGTTACATTCCTGGAAGCCCCAAAAAAGCCAAACAACTTTTTTTTAGACCTCCAGATCTTACAAAAATAAAAGTGAATATGTATTTGTAGTTCATTGTCGTGATGTATTATGTTGCTTTTACCGCTTAAGACTACAAATGCAACAGAAATAATAGTATTTCTTACCTTAAATTGTGGGTGCTGGTGTTTGTTGATTGTGAAGAGAGTGGCGAGCTATGCTGTGGCCCTACTGGGCTGAGGTGGATGGTAGAACTTCTGGTACTGAAGTCGATGGTTGTATTGGAGTGTGCATAAATTTTGTAATGGATTTCTGTTCTATTTTATCCTGCAGTATACAGTGGACCCCCGCATAACGATCACCTCCGAATGCGACCAATTATGTAAGTGTATTTATGTAAGTGCGTTTGTATGTGTATGTTTGGGGGTCTGAAATGGACTAATCTACTTCACAATATTCCTTATGGGAACAAATTCGGTCAGTACTGGCACCTGAACATACTTCTGGAGTGAAAAAATATCGTTAACCGGGGGTCCACTGTATTATACAGTTGACGGTAAGGCGTCAGCTGCTCTAGACAAAGTTTCAGAGCACAGTTTCTAGATTTGCAAGGGTCCACTTCAGTACAGAAGTCTAACTTTAAGTCAGTCAGCCAAGTCAGTCAGTACATCAGTCAAGTCAGTCAGTACGTCAGTCAAGTAAGTCAGTACGTCAGTCAAGTCAGTCAGTACGTCAGTCAAGTAAGTCAGTAAGTCAATCAGTGTCAGCATAGTTGGTGATCCCCTGTACATGTTTGTGTAGCATATCTGAGTATTGTAGTTAGTACCATCTATATATTTTATATAGACGATCCATTGCCAGGCCTAAGGGCTAGTATGTGACGTCATGTGATGCCACATGTGAGCATCAGACGTCCTGCCCCTCTCTCAGTTCCCAGATAGACCTACAGGCGACTACAGGCAGGCTGGGCCTTACCCTCACGACTCTGCAATTACAAGTGTTACCAGCCTTAACCAAGTGTGTTACTACCCCACCTTTGACACCTCGAACCCCCACGCTACATCAGTACGTCAGTCAAGCAAGTCGGTACGTCAGTCAAGCAAGTCGGTACATCAGTCAAGCAAGTCTATTCTGACTTGGTTTAGCACTAAAAATAGCTTGAAATTGAGCTCCAAGTAGTAGAAATGTTCAATTTTTGTCATGTTCAAGAGTAAACAAATCACATCACGCATCCAATACGCATCAGTTGGTGGGTCTATTGTGCATTCATGAATGCACTGATATTATTTATACAATTATTACAATATTGCATAACAGTACATCATCTATTTTTTGGTGTGAATAAAAATTCATTATGTGAATAAAAAATCAAAATGGAATTCATTTGTAAAGCCTGGAAGCATAACTATTAAATCAAGAGAGGAAATGTTAGTTTAGTGCCAGGAATGTGTGCACTGTTTATAATGGACCCTATTTTGAAATTGGAATATTTTGAACTTTGTGTGAAACTGGCCAAATTACCAATTTCCAATCACTTTATTGGGTAGTTGATATAGTTGATTGGCAATTTTTTGTGCTCAATAGATAAAATGGAGCATATACTAGCAAAATAGCTAAGAATTTGGTCTAATGGAACAATGCAATTTGCCAAAAATGGGACTTTAAGGCAAAATCGCCGATTCATAAACATAGTTAACACGTAAAATTCGCGAGTGCATAATTTCATCAATTTTCGATCAAATTTCATATTTTTTGTTTTATTACCTTCAGGAAAAGATTCTCTACCATTTCATGAGAAAAAAATAAGTTTTTTTTTTTAAATTCTTAGACCCTGTGGGGAACTTTCAGACTGTGGGGTCTGGACCTTCAAAGAGGTAAAGTAGATATTTATATACTTTTTTCAAACTTAAATTATTGTGTCATATTACAGTATTAATTCTTTCAAACTTAACTGGAAAGTCTAGATATTTAGAATCTATTTTTTCCTTGTATTTTCTGCCTTCTTGCCTGCACACACACATTATTCAGTAATGATATTAGTGACCGATTCCATTTCCTGCTGTTGTTGTACTACTGTGTACAATAAAAAACTGCACCAAAACTGCAAAATAATAAAAAAAGTTCACAAGATGAACAACAAAATTTCAAGAGATGTTTACAGCACGCGAGTTAGTGGCTATACTGACAATCACGCTGTTGACTCATTGTCTGGTGAGCCGCTTTGTCCCATTTGCATTGTCCATCGACAACCAAGAGCATGTATGAAAACCAGGACATTTTTTTCTCAAATTTCTCGTTCGAAAACTGATTTGTTCAACAAGTAAAGCATTCGACAACCGAGGTTCCACTGTATTGTATTATTTTATTCTATTTTTTTACCATTTTGATCTTCAAAGGTAATGTACAATGATTACCTTCAGAAAAAGATTCTCTACCATTTCATAAGAAAAAATATTCATCAAAACATGGAAATTAAATTGTTTGACTTTATTATGTTACCCTGGGTTAAATATACTTAGTGTGATTTATAGCTGAATTCTACTGTTAGTATCATGAAAATGTAATAAATTTGGACTGAATAAGTCATCTATGAGCCACTTGCACACTCTGTTTGCTGGTAGGAAAGCTAGTGATGGAACAACAGCTCCTGGTTCCTTTGTTTACTTTTATTAGTGAGGTGTCCTAGCGCGTTGGAAATACAGTCATCTCCCAGGTATTTAACCATGATACATTGTTTGCCTCGGTGGGAGACGGCAGACTTGTTGAAAAAAAAAAAAAACATTGTTTGCATCCTGCTGGCCTTAGATTTTTTCAAATGTATGAATATATAGAAGAAGACCCAAAGACTTGTACTGAGGTCAAAAATATTGGCAGGAGGCAGATTTGTGGATACGAAAAACTGTAAGTACAGTGGACCCCCGCATAACGATTTTAATCCGTGCAAGAGGAGTAATTGTTATGCGAAATAATCGGTATGTGAATGAATTTTCCCCATAAGAAATAATGGAAATAAAATTAATCCGTGCAAGACACCCAAAAGTATGAAAAAAAAATTTTTTTACCACATGAAATATACATTTTCCCACACACAAAGAGAAGGATACATGCACAATAGTAGAGTAGTACATGCACAGTATATATTGTGCATGTACTAGTCTACTAAATGAAGAATAAATGACACTTACCTTTATTGAAGATGCAGCAATGACTGATGAGACACTGTGTCCTGGGAGTGCCTTTTCCTCCTGAGTACTGTAGGTCCTGTTTGGCATTTTCTTCCAGAACAGGCCTTACACACTGTGTATGCCACTACGATTCTTAAATCTCTCAAACCAACCTTTGCTGGCTTTAAATTCACCAATATGAGCACTAGTTCCAGGCATTTTTCCCTGTTCACCTGGGTGTTAGTCGACTTGTGTGGTTGCATCCTGGGAGACAAGATTAAGGACCCCAATGGAAATAAGTTAGACAGTCTTCGATGACACTGACTTTTTTGGGTTATCCTGGGTGGCAAATCCTCTGGGGTTAATTGTTTCTTGGTATTCTCAATAAGCCACACCAACAACAGTGCTACAGCAGCAGCAGCAGCTGACGGTGGTACAGCAGCAACAGACGATGCTACAGCAGCAGCAGACGATGCTACAGCAGCAGCAGACGATGCTACAGCAGCAACAGACGATGTTACAGCAGCAGCAGACGATGCTACAGCAGCAGCAGCAGCTGACGGTGGTACAGCAGCAACAGACGATGCTACAGCAGCAACAGACGATGTTACAGCAGCAGCAGACGATGCTACAGCAGCAACAGACGATGTTACAGCAGCAGCAGATGATGCTACAGCAGCAGCAGCAGCTGATGGTGGTACAGCAGCAACAGACGACGCTACAGCAGCAACAGATGATGTTACAGCAGCAGCAGACGATGCTACAGCAGCAGCAGCAGCTGACGGTGGTACAGCAGCAACAGACGATGCTACAGCAGCAACAGACGATGTTACAGCAGCAGCAGACGATGCTACAGCAGCAGCAGCAGCTGACAGTGCAGCAGCAGCAGCAGCTGACAGTGCAGCAGCAGCAGCAGCTGTACCACCAATAGTAGCGATGGTTGATTGGGGTTTATTATACAACCTGGCCAGCTCGGAGACACGCACTCCACTTTCATACTTATCAATGATCTTTTTCTTCATCTCTATTGTAATTCTCACCCTTATTGCTGTAGGGTTGGCACTAGAAGCTTTCTTGGGGCCCATGGTCACTTATTTTCCAGAAAAAGCACCGAAAACACTGTAATAATACGAAATATTCCGATTGTATGCTTGGATGTTACCGCGGAGGCTGGCTGGTAAACAATGCCACCGGCGGAACATGTGAGCGTGGCTCAGGCCGCACATTGGACGCGTCTCGGACGAAAATCGGTGAGCGGGTTTTTAAGCGGTGTGTGAGGCAAAATTTTGGCGATTAAAGCAAGCGGTATGCGGATTAATCGCTATGTGATGCCATCGGTATGCGGGGGTCCACTGTACTAGTACACTGGACACACTGTAGTTATTTGTGTATTAGTATGCTGGATACAGCTAAAGGGTTAAAACTCAAATACCAAAACTTTAAGAATAACTTACCATCATGAGAATAGAATCCACCAGGCAAAAAGTACCAGAACGGCCAATTCCAGCTGAGCAGTGAACAACTGATGGTCCAACATCTGGCTCTAACACACCACTAGCTCGTACTACATTTAGGAACTTGTAGAAAGCTTCAGGGGACTGAGGAACACCAAAATCTGGCCATGTTGTGTAATGGAAATGTAAAATCAAGGAACTGCTTCCTGATGACATTTCTGTTAATCTGGAAAGAAACAAGGAATAAGCATTACTCTAATACACTTGGTTAATCATAATAGTAGAGCTATTATCTGTATCCGAACTTTACAACAAAGCTCAGATCCAAACCAGGTCTTCTAGATGATGGTCTGATCCTTTAGGCTAGGCTATCTGTGCTGGCTACATGCAGTCCAACACAAATACCACAGCCCTGCTGATGAGAAAGTAACTTCAACTTATTAAATTCCCTCTTAACCCATAAACTGTCCAAACAGATCTATGTTCACATGCGTAGTGCTCCAAAAGTAGATCTACATTTTTTTACATATTTTCAAATATAACAAAATAACGTAGATCAAAGTTTTTTTTTACGTTTTCAAATACAAAAAAACAAAGATCTACATTTTTTTTACATACTTTCAAATGTTGAAAAAACGTAGATCTACGTTTGGACAGTTTAAGGGTTAAAAGAGTTAGGGATCTGTTAGCCCTACACACTTATTGAGTAGCCCTTAAGTGTACTCACTGCACCTCTATTTTCCATGTGGGGAACAGCAGATTTGGGACCTATCATTCCAGAGTTTTCGGGGCACAAATTTTAATTTATGATTTTTGCTTACTTTTTTTCTCCTAAACAGCCATCTCCTGCCAAGACAGGGTGATCCAAAGAAGAAAGCACATTCACCATCATTCATTCAATCACTGTTTTGCCAGATGTCTGCTCACATCACAATTTAGATTATCCTCCAACTGCAACATTCTCAGCCCTCCATCTGACCGCAAGCACTACTCTTCCCACCTCCAAGATGCAAGTCTGGCTAGACGGTTTCCCTGAATTCCTTCATAAATGTTACCTTGCTTGCATTCCAATAGCACATCCATGAAAACCACAAGCTTGCTGGATGTTCAAGACCCTAAAACTCAAAGCCTTCTTTATCATCCTCCCTCAAACAGTTCCTGGAATGACCCCTACCCATAACCCTTTCAGGGTTTCGAACATACTAGTACGGCTTACGCACCAGGGTTATTGACGTACTATTATTTTTTTTTATTATCACACTGGCCGATTCCCACCAAGGCAGGGTGGCCCGAAAAAGAAAAACTTTCACCATCATTCACTCCATCACTGTCTTGCCAGAAGGGTGCTTTACACTACAGTTTTTAAACTGCAACATTAACACCCCTCCTTCAGAGTGCAGGCACTGTACTTCCCATCTCCAGGACTCAAGTCCGGCCTGCCGGTTTCCCTGAATCCCTTCATAAATGTTACTTTGCTCACACTCCAACAGCACGTCAAGTATTAAAAACCATTTGTCTCCATTCACTCCTATCAAACACGCTCACGCATGCCTGCTGGAAGTCCAAGCCCCTCGCACACAAAACCTCCTTTACCCCCTCCCTCCAACCTTTCCTAGCCGACCCCTACCCCGCCTTCCTTCCACTACAGACTGATACACTCTTGAAGTCATTCTGTTTCGCTCCATTCTCTCTACATGTCCGAACCACCTCAACAACCCTTCCTCAGCCCTCTGGACAACAGTTTTGGTAATCCCGCACCTCCTCCTAACTTCCAAACTACGAATTCTCTGCATTATATTCACACCACACATTGCCCTCAGACATGACATCTCCACTGCCTCCAGCCTTCTCCTCGCTGCAACATTCATCACCCACGCTTCACACCCATATAAGAGCGTTGGTAAAACTATACTCTCATACATTCCCCTCTTTGCCTCCAAGGACAAAGTTCTTTGTCTCCACAGACTCCTAAGTGCACCACTTACTCTTTTTCCCTCATCAATTCTATGATTCGTACTAGTACGTGTAAATTCTAGTGCCTTCAAATCTAGTGAGAGAAAGCTGGTAGGCCTACATTTGAAAGAATGAGTCTATGTGGTCAGTGTACACAGTATAAAAAAATCCTGCAGCACACAGTGCGTAATGAGAGAAAAAAAAAAACTGACAGTGTTTTTTGTTTAAAACAGCAACTTTGCACTGTATTTTCATGTGGTAATTATTGTTGTATTATAGTTTTCCTGGTCTCATTTTATAGAATGGAAGACATATTACAGAAATTGAGATGATTTTGATTGGTTTCACAATGAAAAGTACCTTGAAATTGAGCTGAAAGTAGCAGAAATGTTCGATTTTTGCCAAAGTTCAAAAGCAAACAAATCATGCCACGCGTACAATACACGTCAACTGGCGAGTCTAATATTCCTTCACAAGTGCACTGATATTATTTATACCATTACTGCACTAATGCAGTAGTCTGCATAACAGTAAATCTTCTATTTTTTGCGCGAATAAAAGTTCAAGTGGAAAGCAAAAGAAATGTAAGAGGGGCCTGGGGACGTGACTAATGAACAGAGGAAATGTTATTTTAGTGCCAGGAATGTCTGTCTTGTTTATTCTGGACCCTATTTGGAAATTGGTATCTTTTGCAATTTGTGTGAAATTGGCAAAATTGCTAATTTCTGACCACTTGATTGGATAGTTGAAATCGGTAAATGGGTGGTTTCTTGTACTCATTCGATAGAAAAAATGGAGTTCTAACGAAATAGTTACGATTTTTCTCGATTAGTACATTGGAATTGGACGAAAATAGGGCTCAAAGTGGGGGAAATCACCAATGTGTAAACATAGTTGAGACCGCTAATTTCACGAGAGCATAATTCCACAAGTTTTCCATCAAATTTCATTCTTTTGGTGTCATTATGGCTGGGAAAAGATTCTCTATCTTTTCATAAGAAATATAATTTTTTTTTTTCCTGAAAAATTTTCAACCCTGAGAACACAAGTTTAGGAGAGGGACTCTTGACCCTGAAAGGATTAATACCTTCTAACGAAGATTTACACACCCTTTTGTCATCCTATCCCTCTCCATCCTCTTTAAATGCTCAAATCACTTAGCAAGCTCTCCTCAGCCCACTGAATTATGACCTTAGTGATCCCATACCATCTAATTTCTACACTTTAAACCCTCTGTGTAATACTCATACCACTCATTGTTCTCAAACATAACATGTACACTGTCTCTAGTCTCCTCCTTACTAAGTTCCACACCCATACAAATGTGTTTGCATCACAACACTGGCATATTCTCATTTTTTGCCTCCATAGATAAACGTCTTTCCATAGATGCCCTTACACACAAGCTACCTTTTTCCCCTCATTTATTTTATGATTCACCCTGTCTTTTACAGAACTATCCACTAACAAGTACACTCCCAAATATATGAGTCCATTCCACTTCCATATTCCCTCCTTGCAATCTGATATTCAGCCTATCATTGTCTAGATTATTTTATCACCACTTCACCTTGCTCTTTTCTATATTCACTGTTAATTTTGTATTCTGACACACCCTCCCAAATTCATTCACCAACCTTTTTATAATTCATCTTCAGAAACTCAAAAAAGAACTGTCATTGGCAGAGAACAACTATGACAACTCCCATTTTATATCAGATTTAATATTCTTTAATTCCACACCTCTCCCCAACACCCTAGCATTCACTTCTTTTACAGCCCTCTCTCTATATATATTAAACAACCATGGTAACATCACACATCCCTGTCTAAATCCTACTTTCACTGGGAAATCATCTCCCCTCCCTCCCTACACACACATACATGAGCCTCACTATCCACATAAAAACTTTACTTTTAGTAATCTGCCACTTATTCCATTCCATACATTTGCAACATTTGCCAAATAACTTCTCTGTCCACCCTATCATATGCCTCCTCTAAACCCACAAACACAACAAACAGTTCTTTGTCCATATCTAAGTACTTCTCATTTGTATGCTTCAACCTAAGTATTTCCAATAGTAATTCTAACATACCCTTTACCTTATATACTCAAAAGGCCCTTCCTTTCTTTTTTAACACGCTGGCAGTCTCACACCAAGGTAGGGTGATCCAAAAAAGAAAACTTTCACCAACATTCACACTATCACTGTCTTGCCGGAGGCATGCAGATACAACACTTCAGATGTCCCTCCAAACAGCAAATATCCCAGACCCTTCTAAGGTGCAGGCACTGTACTTACCATCTCCAGGATTCAAGTCCAACTAACCGGTGTCCCTGAATCCATTCACTAAACAATGCCTTGCTCACACTCCAACAGCTCGTCAGGTCCCAAAAACCATTTGCATCCACTCCTAATACTTTTACAAATGCCTGCAGGATGTCCAAGCCCCTTGACCCCAAAACCTCCTTTACCCCCTCCTTCCATCCTTTCCTAGGATGATCCCTACCTCGTCTTCCCTCCACTATACAGTGAAACCCTGGATTTCGGCTGCCCTGAGAATCGGCAGCTTTGGGTTTCAACCGCTTTTTTCGGCCAAATTTTGTCCCATGTTTTGGCTATTGCCCCGAGTTTCGGCCGGCATACCAGACCTGTCCCCCTGCCCGTGCAGGCGTCATGAGCCAGTCTAGCGTTGTTTATCCTTGAGCGAACATTATCCTGCACTCTCATCCTGCCAGCCAGGCAGCCATCCATCCAGCCAGCCAGGCAGCCATCCATCAAGCCAGCCAGGCAACCATCCATCAAGCCAGCCAGGCAGCCATCCAACCATCCAGGCAGCCAGCCATCCAATCCATCCAGCCAGCCAGCCATCCAGCCAGCCAGGCAGGTAGGCAGCCAGCCAGGCAGCCAGCCAGTCATCCAGTCAGGCAGCCATCCAGCCATTAATTGTGACTGGGAAATAAGCCACCATGGGCCCTGTGGTAAAGAAAGTGAGGAACGCCATAGCAGTGAAGAAGAAGATTGTAGAAAAATACAAGAGTGGCGTTCATGTGGGGAAGTTTGCCAGGATGTACGGCAAAACCAAATCAACTATCACTTCTATTCTGGTGAAGAGAAAAGAACTCAAGGAAGCTGATGTTGCGAAACGTGTGGTCATGTTATCCAAAAACAGGTCACAAACAGTTGAAGAGGTTGACAAGCTGTTGGTGGTGTGGATCAACAATAAACAGATAGCAGGTGATAGTGTTTCAGAGTCGATCACTTGTGA